AGTTAAGTTTTTTCTTTATGGATACATTTTCGAGATATTTTTAATTACCGTTATTCAGCTTAAAAAAAAGAGTGGTTCCACTTAATCACGTATATCTTACGAACGAATTAAATAATCGTAATACGAGATAAAACAAATGAGAGCAAAAATAATATTATCCATAAACCGTATATATGTACATTACTTTTCGATAGCCCTTTTAGTTTCTAAGAAATTAATTAATCATTCCAAATTTTTTGTTTTTTTGATGAAAAAATTCAAACTTTAACAGGGGAAAAATTAAAAAATAACAGTTCCTTTGTAAATGTAATTGCACTTGTGATAAAGCCTGTTCCTTTAGAAAAAAATAAGCTACTAATGAAGAAAATTGATGTTCAAATAAGAAAGTAAGGATTGATCAAATGAAAATGCGCAAAAATTTGTTGTATGAAATATGAGCAGAAAAGAGTATTACTCATACGCCATGTATACCTGAGTAGGTAGAGATGTCAGAAACGAATACTTATGTAATTCCACAAAAACTATCAAGCTATCGAAAACTGATGTACATACATATTTTGAATTTTATTAGCTTTCATATTCCGCATTTCGTATTACGATTATTCAATAGGTTCGTGAGGGCACCCTGAAATTGTGCATATGGAAACTGTGCATACGAAATAATGCATATGAAAAAAAACGAAGTAATGCATACATGCACAGTTTCGTTTGAAAACCGAAATAATGCATATGGTAAAAACCGAAATAAAGCATACATGCACAGTTTCGGATGAAAACCGAAATAATGCATATGGTAAAAACCGAAATAAAGCATACATGCACAGTTTCGGATGAAAACCGAAATAATGCATATGGTAAAAACCGAAATAAAGCATACATGCACAGTTTCGGATGAAAACCGAAATAATGCATATGGTAAAAACCGAAATAAAGCATACATGCACAGTTTCGGATGAAAACCGAAATAATGCATATGGTAAAAACCGAAATAAAGCATACATGCACAGTTTCGGATGAAAACCGAAATAATGCATATGGTAAAAACCGAAATAAAGCATACATGCACAGTTTCGGATGAAAACCGAAATAATGCATATGGTAAAAACCGAAATAAAGCATACATGCACAGTTTCGGATGAAAACCGAAATAATGCATATGGTAAAAACCGAAATAAAGCATACATGCACAGTTTCGGATGAAAACCGAAATAATGCATATGGTAAAAACCGAAATAAAGCATACATGCACAGTTTCGGATGAAAACCGAAATAATGCATATGGTAAAAACCGAAATAAAGCATACATGCACAGTTTCGGATGAAAACCGAAATAATGCATATGGTAAAAACCGAAATAAAGCATACATGCACAGTTTCGGATGAAAACCGAAATAATGCATATGGTAAAAACCGAAATAAAGCATACATGCACAGTTTCGGATGAAAACCGAAATAATGCATATGGTAAAAACCGAAATAAAGCATACATGCACAGTTTCGGATGAAAACCGAAATAATGCATATGGTAAAAACCGAAATAAAGCATACATGCACAGTTTCGGATGAAAACCGAAATAATGCATATGGTAAAAACCGAAATAAAGCATACATGCACAGTTTCGGATGAAAACCGAAATAATGCATATGGTAAAAACCGAAATAAAGCATACATGCACAGTTTCGGATGAAAACCGAAATAATGCATATGGTAAAAACCGAAATAAAGCATACATGCACAGTTTCGGATGAAAACCGAAATAATGCATATGGTAAAAACCGAAATAAAGCATACATGCACAGTTTCGGATGAAAACCGAAATAATGCATATGGTAAAAACCGAAATAAAGCATACATGCACAGTTTCGGATGAAAACCGAAATAATGCATATGGTAAAAACCGAAATAAAGCATACATGCACAGTTTCGGATGAAAACCGAAATAATGCATATGGTAAAAACCGAAATAAAGCATACATGCACAGTTTCGGATGAAAACCGAAATAATGCATATGGTAAAAACCGAAATAAAGCATACATGCACAGTTTCGGATGAAAACCGAAATAATGCATATGGTAAAAACCGAAATAAAGCATACATGCACAGTTTCGGATGAAAACCGAAATAATGCATATGGTAAAAACCGAAATAAAGCATACATGCACAGTTTCGGTTGAAACCGAAATAATGTCTAAATGCACAGTTTCCATATGCGCAATTTCGGTGCCCCGTTCGTGAGATATACGTGATTAAGTGAAACCACTACTTTTTCAAGCTGAATAACGGTAAATTGCAAATATCTCGAAAAGTTATCCGTAGAAAAAAAATTATTTTTATATTCGGAATCACAGAGCAATTCTACATAGGAATTGGATAGTGGCATCTAAAGAACATGTAAACTAGCGTTATCAATAATTCGGCATGGCAACCACCAAAATAAAACAGGTTTATTGTTTAATCGGAATTACTCGTTCGGTCGGTCGCGCGTTGATCGTTCATATATATGTACATAAAATCCTACATGCATACATATTTACACGCAAGTCTTGAATTCATATATTGTCTTAAATTCGCCTCGCATTGAATCAAGGCCAATTCATACAAGGTGGTAGCAAGAGTATAAAAAGCATATGTATGAATGCGCCTTGTTTCACCAATCTATCGTCTTTTTTCGCCAAATATGCAAAAATATGCACGTAAGTCGAATAAATGCAAAAATAAGCAAAATAAGCCTTTTCAAGCATTTGCATTTTTTTGCCAGCCCTGCTAATGACACCCCGGAAAGAGGAATTAAAATCACGAAGAATTTCAATAAAGAATGAAGAAGAGAAAGAGTTTTTGTTCCAAATTGTAGAATCCTATAGGAAAATTTGTCCTACATATAAAAAACAAACTTACTTTAAGTCGAAAACCCTGCAGCTTAGTTATCTTGTAACCGAATCTATAACATATAGATCGTTGTACAGATAATTTACCTAATAAAACAATTTTATTAAAAATGTATCAAAAGTCTAACATTTACAAAAATAAATTTTAACGAAAATCGACAAAAATTGATTTTTCGTCCGTGTAAGTACATATTCAACCTTTACTTGATTTCCGCGTCGACTTTCCGTCGTCCAATTTACACCGAATTTCATTCCAGCTATATTTAGGTCGAAAGGAGAAAACAGCCCAATCCAACCATCTGGAACATATTTTGAAAAATTGTAATACATCAAAAAACACGTCTAATGTACATAAAGTGTCGAAAAGAAGTATTTGCACAGGGAATTTTTCGCAATATATGCAAAGTTTTTTATTCTAATTTATTTTCGATAATTTTTTATAAAAATATAGTTCATTCTACACCAAAAAACATAATAATAAAATTTCTAAACTTTGTGCAAAACTCAGGAAAATTAATTAAATTTGCACACTAATTTGAAACTTTTTATTTATTCAAATTTAGTATAGCAAAGTGCAAGTTTGAAGTCGCTAGAAAATCGCGTTGAATTTTTCAATTTTTTTTTCACGCAAGTTTTTCCATACAAAGCATATTCGACAATTATTTTTCGTATGGAGAAAATGAGCAACACCTTCCACTAAAAAAATTGCCAAAAATAAACGCAACTTGCTAGTAACTTTAAACTGGCATTTTATGGACTATAAAACTGCATACTTAGAATTTTCAAATTAGTGTGCAAATTTATTGAATTTTGCTGAGTTTTGCATAAAGTTCAGAGATTTTATTTTTATGTTTTTTGGTGTAAAATGAACTATATTTTTTCAGGGACGCGAACCGGTTTTGAACCGAACCAGTTTTGAACCGGAAAACCGCTTTTTTCTATTAGTGAACTGAACCATTAACCGAACCGAAATTTTCTACAAATGTTTGATCCGAACCAAAAACCGAACCACTTTCGATAAAGACTTAAAGGTTCGTTTCAATCAATTTTCAATAGATAAATGCACCCACTTTTTTACCATGTGACAACATCAAATGTAAAGGCAACCCATCTCATTTGACAGACACTTAACCCTTAACTTTGCGCGTTGTTGCACTTGACACTTGATACTTATAAACTTGCGCGTTATTCTTATGTTTTTCGAACCATTGAAATGAACCGAAACCCCGGTTCAAAGACCAAAAAACCGATTTGACGAACCAATGCACTTTTGAGTGCAAAAACGGTTCGAACCGCTGAATCCAACCGACCAAATTTTCATCCGGTTCACGTCCCTGATCCTAAATACATTTTTCTTAGCCAGCAGCTTAAAAATTATCGGTCTACTTATAGAATTCCCGGAAGAACACTTTTCCCTGTATAGTGTCCCCGCTGTTCGGAAATGCATCAGTGCAAAGTATCAGTCTCTTTTTTTAACCTACGTCCAAAAAAAGAGGAGGTTATCAGTTCGTCGGAATATTTAAAAAAAAATTTTTTTTATGTTACCGCATAACTTTGGACCAGGGTTGTTGCGAATATTTTTCCGAAATAAAAGTCCTTTCCGGATAATAAACAAACCGCCTGTCCAAATTAAACAAATTTGGTATCATATGAAAGGATCTCCATTTATATTTTTTTTTATAAATTAATACTAATGAAATTCATATACCTGACAAAGGTTTGTTCTATGGTAATTAATTAACATTTTTTTATTGAAATATTTGGTCGGCAAAAATCCTCTTAGCTATATCCTCCCCGCGGGTTCCGACTGGGCAATGGGCGTCGCTGCTGTAACCGCGATGGCTTAGCACCTAGGCTAGTACCTAGAGCGGGTCTTGGCGGTGCGAGCAGGCGGCGTCTAGCGAAGGCAGGAGTATGTATCCATCCTTCACTTCCTAGTGCTATGCTCTACTCTGCTCTGCATATGAAACTGGGGGAGAGGGGTGTATGCCTACTTCTGCCATTGCTAACGAGGTACCTGGCGGTAGGTATAAAACGCTAGGTGTAGAGGTTCCCTGACACAAAAACTCACCATGGAGGCTAGAAAAGAAGAAGAACGGGCTGGGATATCAGCCCAAACGTCGGTGCGAGAAGTGGCTACTACCACCGGCGGGCACAGCGATTCTACTCGCTGTGTCGCCAGCGCCCACACCTCTGCTGTGGAGGGAGCGGTTCACAGCGGTTGTAGTGCTACCGCTAAACTGACGCTACAGCGCATGGGTGCCACAGTCCACGAAGACTAGGACCTCGAAAGCGTTACCACCCAAGAGGAAGAAGCCTTGCTATGCTCTCCGGGGGATGCCAAAGGTGCTTGTTCGGCATCAAAGAAAAGGCCTAGGGTAAAACCCAGTAAGGAGGGATTGAATTCTAAAGCCATATACAAGGCGGCGGTCAAAGTCCACGAGAGACTTAGCTGCAAGTCCAACCGGACGAAGGAAGAGGAGGAAAGGTTGGCTTGGGATAAGGGGAAAATGGAGGAAGGCCGGGCGTACTACGCGGCAAGGCCACGATTCAATGCCACGGACCCGGGATTCGTAAACCGGATCGAGGAAGCAATCGCGGCTAAAAGGCAGCGGTCTGCTGAAAGCGAGACAGCAAGGCCGGCCAAGAGATCTAAGCGCAGAGACGACGCTGCAAAGCCAAACGTCAGGCTCGATCAAGAGAAAGCGACAACACCGAGAGCGGCGGTAACGGCCAGTGAGATAGCCAGGAGACATCTAATCGTGGCACTCATAGACCGTAGCAATCCGCTGGGACAAATGTCTCAGGAGCGCTGGGGAGCAGTGGAGTTAAAGCTGCTGGATGCGCTCGTCGAAAAAATGGATGGGGACCCTAACACGACCATGCCAACTTTCGATGGTGCCAGGTGGCTAAACGGGGTAAAAATATTAAAGTGCAAGGACGATCCAACTCTACTATGGGTAAAGGAAGCTGTCGCGACGCTTCAAGGCCTGTGGGAGAGCGCCGTCTTGGAGGCTGTGGACCGCAGCTGCATACCGTCCATACCAGAAGCGAAGGTGCTCATACCCCGCACGGTAAAATCGGAGAATGCGCTGCGGCTTCTGCAGAGACAGGACGGGAGATTGGAGGGTGTTAAAGGTCAACAACTCCGGAAAGGAGGATAGCAGCCAAAACTACATCTTCCAAATAAATAAGCCGGCCGAAGACATATTGTACGCTAGGTTCGGGAAGATGGCGTGGGGCGTAGGTAGCGTATACCTTCGCCTGAAGAAGCGAAACCTGGCCGATAAGAATGAGAACACGTTGGAGGAGCGAGAGGTTGAGAAGGATCTGGGAGAGATCCTGGAGGCCACCTTGAAGCTCCAGGATACCGAGAAGGGTGAACCGGAGACTCTACCCGACCCCGAGAAGAATCCTGATCCTTGCAGTAAAGGTTCTTCAGATAAACTTGCACAAAAGCAAGGTCGCCTCTGCCGAGCTCCTCCTCAATTTAGAGAGGATCGGCTACGATGCGGCGTTAGTCCAGGAGCCATGGATAGCATCGGGAAACGTGGTATCTGGACTAAAGTCGCAAACATACTACACGCACATCCCGAGTGCAACAAATAGGGTAAGAACAGCTATACTGATTAAGAAAAGTATACACTCTTATATTGATCTTAATTTCTCTTCAGACGACCTGACGGAGGTAGCTGTGAAGGATGGCAAGGATGACACAATACTCCTTGCATCTTGTTACATGCCTCACGATGAGGAGGCGCCACCAAGCGGACTCCGGAGGTTGGTGGCAGAGGCCGAGAAGGTGAAACGTCCACTCGTCATAGGCGCGGATACCAATGCGCACAATACGGTTTTGGGGAGTGGAGGTACCAACGAAAGGGGTGAGTCTTTACTAAACTTTATCTTAACAAGTAATTTAGATATAACCAACCAGGGTGAGGAACCAACTTATATTGGCCCTACCTCGAAGAACGTTCTTGATATAACACTCCACACTAGTGGGGGAATCGGAGTAGGAAACTGGGAGGTGCTTAGTACAGCCTCGTTTTCTGACCATAGGTATGTAGGATTTTAGGTAGAATTCTCAGCCCGTACAAAAAGCGAAACTTTCAGAAATCCCAAGAATACGAACTGGGAATTGTATGAAAGGGTAGTGAGGAAGAATTTAAACAAGTATAGGGTAAGTGACTCCCACTCTGAATTGGAGGAACTGGTAGTAACACTTACCAACACTCTAAACAAAGCTTATCGCATCGCATGCCCTCCGCTACATGCAAGGCGAGGTTCAAAGCCACCTTGGTGGAACAGGGGTCTCGGAGCACTCAGAAGAAATGTCAGAGAACTCTTCAAACTGGCCAAGATAGCCGATGACGAGTTCTGCTAGATGGAATACAAAGATATACTTAAGGAATACAAGAAAGAGATTCGCAAATGCAAGCGGGAGTCGTGGAAGGGCTTCTGCGGTGAATTAGAAAAAACAACCGAGGTAGCCAGGCTAAGGAAATTGCTATCCAAGAACCCGACTACTCCAAGGTTGCTACGCAAAAAATGTGGAGAGTGGACTGTAAGCTAGCTAGTGGACTAGTCAACACACATTTTCCGGGGTGTACAGACAGCATAGATCTACAATTTTTATGGGATAGCATGGAAAATGTCCCCCCAGACATCATAACGGGAGAAAAAATACGGTGGGCTATCGGCGGATTCGAACCGTTTAAGTCCCCAGGCACAGACGGTATATTTCCAGTCATGATGCAAAAATTTTCCGCAGTGCTGGCACCATACTTGAAAATAATATACGAGGGATGTTTAAGGTTAAACTATGTGCCTGTCCAGTGGAGAGAGGCGAGGGTCGTATTCATTCTGAAGGCGGGCAAAGGAAATCCCCTCTATTCGAAAGAATAGAGACCAATTAGTCTAACCTCATTCCTTCTAAAGACGCTCGAAAAGATTCTGGACGCATACATTAAGATAAGCTGCCGTCGGCCAGCATATCAAAGGCGCAGCATGCTTACACGAAGGGTAGATCCACTGAGACTGCACTTCACTCAATAACCACGGTAATAGAAAGAACTCTGGAGCTTAAGGAATATGCCCTAGGGGTCTTCCTGGACATAAGTGGGGCATTCAATAATGTCTCCTATGAGGCAATAGTGGAAAGTCTAGAAGCAGCTCAGGTAGAGTCTGCCATCCTACTATGGATAAAGAGCCTGCTGAGCTGCAGAAAGATTAACTCCTCAGGGTGGCGCTCTGTCACCACTCCTGTGGCTACTCGTAGCGAATGAGCTTCTGGGGAAATTCGAAGGGAAAGCACCCAGACTAATTGCCTATGCGGACGACATAGCTATAGTTGTTACGGGGAAATTCCTAGACACCATCCGTAACGTAATGGAAAGCGCTCTAAGGGTCGTACATCGATGGGCGACAACAGAAAACTTAGAGGTAAATGCTGACAAAACGGATGCGGTACTGTTCACAAGAAGGTACAAAATCCCCGCGTGGAAACCCCCGAGGCTCAACGGGGAGGAGCTATCAATCAAGGATCACACCAAGTACCTGGGAGTAATATTGGACAGCAAACTGATGTGGAAGCTAAATGTAGAGGAAAGGGTGAAAAAGGCCAGTGGTGCCCTTTATGCAGGTAAAAAGATGCTGGGTACCACATGGGGCCTATCCCCTGGCCTCATGCATTGGTGTTACACAGCGGTAGTAAGGCCGATATTGCTATACGGCGCTCTGGTATGGTGGACCCCTGCCAACAAAAACTCGTATAGGAAACCATTGGAGCGAGTACAGCGGCTCGCTGCACTGTGCATAACAGCGGCACTTGAAAGGCTACTTGACCTACCGCCAATCGACATCGCAGTGGAGAGCACTGCAGCGAAATCCGCCATGAGATTGATGGCCTTAGGTGAATTCTCCGCTAGAACCTTCGGGCACAGCTCGATATGCAGGGGGGTGGAGGGCAAAATTGACCACATACCCCCACGCTTCATCTGGGAAAGAAGGTTTAAAGCTACGTGTAACGTATAACATCTATACGGATGGATCAAAAATGGCTGATGGAGTGGGCGCCGGAGTCTACTGCGCCGAGCTAGACCTCAGGCAACCCTTCAAGCTGCCAGAGTACTGCAGTATCTTCCAGGCGGAAGTCTTCGCTATAGGGAAAGCTGCTGAGATTGCTAACAACGCAGGACACTATATAAAAAATATAAACATATATGTCGATAGCCAGGCGCGATTAAGGCTATAATCGCACATCGTATTTCGTCAGAAAATGTTCTTAGAAGCAGGGAAGCAGTAGACAGGGTGGCCGAGGGTAAACGGTTGCATATATACTGGGTTCCAGGCCACAAGGGCATTTTAGGCAACGAAATAGCTGATGAATCTGCCAAAAGTGCCATCCGTCTTGCTAGCGAACCAGTACAGGAAATACAAAAGTCGCTAAAAACGATCTATAATGAAATTTCCGAAAGGGCTGAGTGCCGGATCCGGGTGAGATGGAACGCTTTAACAACATGCAAAACCACCAAGATCATGTACAATCGCAGCAAAGGAAACCCCCATTTCTTGCTTACACGGTCACGCAGGGATTGCAGGACAGTTGTTGGCCTAATGACCGGCCACAACCTACTGGCATCCCATGCATGCAGAATGGGCATTACTAACAGTGACGCATGCAGGAAGTGTATCTGTCCGGCCTTAGCTAGAACTCGCCTTACATATCTCGGAGCTTCGCAGATCAAAGGACTAGAGGAGGCTTCAAAACTGGATATTAAGGCTCTCTTGAACTTCGCAAAAAGCGTTGACGTCCTATACGACGACTACTTTAGATCGCAGTAACACGGACCTCCATCTGGCACTACAAAGGACCAATGGGTCTATGTAAGGCGCATCAGCCGGCCAGTGTAACCTAACCTAACCTATTGAAATATTTTTCAATGTGTGGCTTTCCTCGTTTAGACATTTCAGTTTTGAACCTATTTAAGTCCTCTTTTATTTGGTACCAAATTTGTTTAATTTGGATAAGCGGTTTGTTTATTATTCGGAAAGGACTTTTATTTCGGAATAATATTCGCAACAACCCTGCTTTGGACCACGTCAACCGATAATTCTTTTTGCATCGGAAAGGTAGTGTCTCAGAGGTGGTCCCATACTAATCTGGTTTAGATCCGATCATTGGATCATGAAATATATATATATATTTTAAGTCGGTTTTTTTTTTGCTAAAAATTACTTGTTTATAAACTATAATTGACAGAAATGCCCAATTTGCACTACTAAGTTACAATTCGGCATTTAACCGTGGTTGCTCATATTGCACGTATCCATCAATTACACTGTGATACAAAATGGTTCATGTCTCCATATTTGATGAAACCAAAAGTAAATGAAAGATAACACTTCCCATAACAAAATTCCAAAAGGATTTTTAGCCCATAAATCGATTTTTAATGTGTATTTAAGTTGTTTACCCTGTATAAACGAAAAATTGAGTAAAATTCTATCAAATAATGGAGTTATTTTGGAAAGTATGGATTAATTCAGTTTTGATATGCGCTGTTGAACAATTTTTGCTATTTTTTATGGTTTCTCATTGAAAAATAGTACTTCTAAGGCTGATTAATCCATTTTTTATACCTTTTTCATGGTAGAACTTATGCTGTATGTAAATGTTTTATTAGAAAAAATAACTTTTTGTATAGGAAAAAGACTTTTTAATATTTTTAAAAGAATTCTGATCACCAACTTTAAATACACATTAAACAAGTAATTTTTAGCAAAAAAAACCGACTTCAATCCTCATATAAATATATATATATATATATATATATATATCTCATGATCCGGTGCTCGGATCTAAACAAACCAGTTTCGTATGGGACCACTTCTGAGACACTACCTTTCCGATGCAAAAAGAGTTATCGAAATCGGTTGACGTGGTCCAAAGTTATGCGGTAACATACATAAAAAAATATTCCAACGAACTGATAACTTTCTCCTTTTTTGGAAGTCGGTTAACAATACCAGATCGATAGGCTAAAAATGCTTTTGAAATGCTTGTATGGGAGGTGTAAACTTTCATTTGGTTTAAACAAATACGTAAAATTTTTTTTTTTTGGAGAAAGGGGTTTCCAATATTTTTTTAGTGCGTAATTAAAGTAAGTGTGCTTATTACCCATAGTCATATAAAATAGCAACCAGTTATGAAACTATTTATTAATATAAAATAAACATTCTAAATAATCGCAACAATGAAATAATGTTTTATTTAAATACTTGTCATACAATACATTAACAACAACAGCAAACGGTATGCCATGTGCAAATAAGTAGTATGTAGTATACGAATGCTCGTGAATATTTTTAGGGATGTGAACATTTCCAAAGAAATACATAAGTACACATACATACATTTATAGCACATTTATATACTTACACATAAAATTTTAGTGAAAAGAGATGTATTTTGAAACCTAAGGTCCCAAAGTTACTAAATATTTAAGAAATCACTCAATATAGCAGTTCTGATTACAAACAAACATTAGCAGAACACAACTAGATAAAAAAGTACAGTAATAATATTCTCGAGATAAGGCACCCAATAAAAGCGTTATAATCTTTACCATATTTTTAATATAATATTGCTTAATGACCACCAACTTCGCGAAGTTCACGGTTACCCAATGGCAATGGTGGGCGAAAATTGTTGATCACTTTACCGTTTAATTCATTGCATGGACACTCTTCTTTAACAGCGTAGCAATTAAGATTACGCATGGCATTTAGTTGATCGCGTGATACTTCGATTGGCGTTTTAAAAACAATCCAAAGGACCGATTCTGAGCATGGAGGAGTG